CTTCTTTAGTATTTTTGGAAAGGTTGTGGCTCCTTCCCGTTACTTCAGACCTCACCCTTCCTTTCATTTCAGCCACATTTTGGCTTTAATTAACTTTAGCAGCAATTGTTATATGGAAATCCGTTCGTTAATTTGTACTGCATTAGCATTTTGATTACCCTGTACCTCCGCCTCTCTGCACCTTCAGTCATTTTAGCCTCAAGAAATGACTTAAATTAATGATGTTTGTTTAAGATCAGCTCCTGAAGGAGCAGCGATCTGCTTCAGCCAGGAATTATTATTCCCTCCTCTAGATTTTAGTGTTTCTCTCCTCATCCCCTCCTCAGAGTTAGTTTTCTAGGAACATTCTGGAAAAGTCAGGAACTCTGTTAAAATCTGGAGCTTTTAAATGTCATCCATTATTTTATTTATTCATCATCACTAAATAAACTCACTGCGTTCATTGGTTAGTGGTTTATTTTGGCTGCTGTTCCAGTTTAGATCCTCCTCTTTTGGATAAAAATGCTTATTAGTTTGTCAAAATTTAGTAATTTTATAATTTAGTCATTCGACATTTTTTTAACCTAGTTTTAGTAAACTCTGTATGTTTGGTACAACTGTTAATGTCACCAAGTAAATAGAAAACATTCATTGTAGGCTTCATATCTAAAGATGCACTTATACACACGTGAACATGTTTACTGTGTAGATGATGCGTTTAAAAACATCAATTGGACTAAATACATCCATGTTTAGTCAATAAAGTGGTGATAAAACAATCAAACCAGCAAACCAAAACAACAGCTATAGATAAAGCTGATTTAAACAGAAATTATCATCTAATGATTATTTCTTTCTCCTCATCTTCCTCAGTTCGTTGAGCTTCCCTCTCTGACTCAATGAGGAGCCTAATTACATCCAAACTAGGGCTGCAACTAATTATTATTTAGCATGTTGATTATTTTATAAATATAATCATATCACCAAAGGTTCCTTAAAGAAAGCTTTTTATTAAATAAAAGCAGGTATGTAATTGACAATTATTTCAATAATCGATCAATAGTCGACTAATCAGATACATTTATTTTAGCTCTAATCTAAACGTATTAAATTCACCAAAGTGTGGAACTCAGAGTTCACATAAAGAACAATTAAATGGTTCTGAAAACGTCCACTAGAGGTCACTGATGGAAGCTAGCAGAGCCTCGTATGAGCGGGCGGCTCGTCATCATGAGGACGACATCACTTCCTGCTCTGCTCCTGCATCACATGATCAGTTACTATCAGAGGTGTCAGTAACAAAGTACAAATACTTTGTAACTTAAGTAGAAGTATTGTCTATCTAGTTTTATTTCATTTAAGCTCGTTTTCATTATGGTCTGTTGGTATTTTAAAAAAAAAATAAAAACCATCAAAATAATTAGTTCCATCCAGACAATTAATTTCTTTGTGGTTGGACTCGGTGCTGCCCCAACTTGTTGCTCACCACATACCAAAATAAATAGTTTATCAAGATGAAGCAAAGTTAATTTGACACTGTTAGTTATAAAGCTAATGGTAACATCAGACCTATAATTTAACCCCGCCCCTCTGATCAGATCCATGGGGCCTTTTAGGGCTCATAATTGTCACTGATGATTGAGGCCTGGCTTCCTCTGACGTCTCGTTTCCTCTGTGGTCAGGCCATGCTGGATGTAGCTGCCAACGAGGGCTGGCTCATCACTGCCCTCAGTATCTGCAACCTGGTGCAGATGATCGTCCAGGGCCGCTGGCTGCACGACTCGTCCTTACTGACCCTTCCTCACGTGGAGCAGCACCACCTCTATCTGTTCAGGTAAAGCAGCTTCACCAGCGGTTCCTTGCTCTCCTGCTCCTGACCTCAGAAAAACATCTTGTTTTGCTTTGATCTTGGTTATCTGAGGTGCTCCGTTATTGCCGTCACCTAGCGGGTCTGACTTCCTTTAAGTGAGGCAGCAGATGGTTTCCTCTGGTAGATGGAGGCTAATGTTTCCCAGAAGGAGGCCGTGTGTCTTTGGAACCTCATTAGAATAAAATAAAAAAACGGGCCGGACTGAAACGACTAAATGAGAGGAAGTTTGGTTTCTACCGTCTGTTTTCCTGCTTTAGTTCAGCTGTTGGTGGGACTTAGTGTTTAGATGTGTGGAAACGTGCAGCCAGAGAGGAAAACACACATTCTAGAAACTCCAGAAAGTTCTAATGCAGTCTTATGGAAACCTTGGATCCTAAAAAGGCCTGACTGGATTTAGTTTGACTGGATTTAGGAACATCTGTGCTGGGAAGAAAACTTACAGCGTCACACATTTAAAAGAAGCTCCGCCTCTAGACAGCAGCAGAGGCTTCTGGTTGATTTATGCTTCCATGAGGTCTGCACGCCGCACCATCACAACATTACATCATTTTAGCGTCCACAGGCCGCTCTTCCACACAGCGCAACCCAGGAACGCCTAAAGCAGTGCAGGGAAAAAACACTTTCATCTAGCAGATAAATTCAAATACAACTTAAAGGGTTTTTCTTTTTTCATCACGCTGTTGAAGCTTCAGGCTGGAAGGATCTCCTGTAGAGGTTTGTCTTACACCAGATCTGGAGAAGCCTCTGACTGAAGACACTCTGTTGGTGTTTAACAGTGTGATGAAGAGGATGCTCGCAGTCCCTAAACTTCTTCACTTGATGAAGATTTAATAATCTCAAGGGTTCCCAGAGGAGTTCCTAGAAGAGAAAACATTAACAAAACAAAAAGAAAGGTGGATGAAGCGCCGCTCCTACTGGGGAGAGCTCACAGGATTAAACATGATGGAGCCTTAATTATCACCTGTCCCTGTCCATCTTGGATGAAACCAAGAGGAAACAGCTGTTTACTACTTCTGCATGTAGAGCGGCCAGTCAGTGTCCTGAACTGACCCCTGCAGAATAACAGAGTACCAAAAGCTATAAAGTTGTTTCCTTCTTACTATAGAATATTGAACATGACCCAAGCTTTGGTCTGGGACAGCGGCTACCCTGGTTCCTAAACCTGGACCTTAGATATAGAGGGTGTGTTTAGACCAGGGGTCGGCAACCCAAACTTCAAAGAGCCATAAGGGACCAAAAAACAAATAACCTTATATAGTCTTCTCTAAGCCGCGTATGGCAGCACGGGCTCTAAGTGTATTAGCCCCCTATAAAAAAGGACTATGTGGGCTTAAATATATAAAATAATCATTCATGATTAAAGCTGCAGGCTTTGATGCTAATCTTCCTTGACAGAAATGGCTACATTTATTATCTAAATCTACACATTTTTATTGGAAACACAATTAATTGATCAATTGAACAGCACAGTTACCAAGCAACCAAGGTTCTCCCTCATCAAGGCTTTCTGGCTACAAGTCAATCGGCTATGCTCGGGAATTCGCTCATTTTCACCTGATCAGATCGGCATGTAGCCGCTCGCTAAAAAGACAACCAATTTCAAGCGCCATTTTTTCACGTTTTTTTTCCGAGTGGACGCGTATCTTTCTACAGCGCTTGGTCCATGCTTGTGAGAGAGCACCAGAACCAGGATGAGCTGGGACCAGCGGTGCCCCCCTCTGGAGCTAAGGAACCACAGCAGTAGAAGTGGCAGCTTTCAGTGCTAGCTTAGGAGGTTAGCGGCGGAGCCTGCTGAACTGAGCACTGAATGTGGAGGAGATGCTACATTGGCTTTAGCTAGCTACAGAATGTAACTGTGGAGGATCTAAGCAGGAGGGCTGAAGATCTGCCGGAGAAGGCAGAAGATAGGGACAGCAGCGGGCTGAGGAGGGGCGCTGTAGATCAGGGAGACAGAGCAGGAAGAGGCAGCAGCTAACTGAGAGTAGCCTTTACAGGCTAACTGCTGGAGGTGGGCGGAGAGCGGAGGATCAAAAAGCCACCAGGCAGGAGGTAGGACGACGAAACAGTCCTTCTCTGACTCAATTAAGACAGGCTTTTCTAAAGAGCATTCCTTATTTCATCCTTCTTCATCATTAATTTCTCCATCTTCCAATTTTATGCTTTAATAAATATAATATAATCCAATGTCACTGTTCAGTATTAAAGGACTGATGGATTGGATGCTATTGTTGATCAGCAGATCCTGGTCTTTGTAGATCAGACCAGCATTGGGAAGTTTTATTGGAGATGGACGCCTCCTGACGCTAACGCAGGGATATTTATGCTACCATCTTACTGCTGGAGCTACCCCGCCCCTTCTTATGACATCATCATATGGCAACTCCACTCGGACAAACTGTATTGCACCCGTTTCTTAAGGATCAAATCTCTTAGTCTCAACATATTATTGCCTATATTTGCTATTATTTCACATTTCATTGGCGATCTAAAGTAGCAGAAAGTAGTATCAGTCAGACTTGAATGAAAGTCCTGCTTTCTAAGACAGACTGAGCTCTGCCATTTAACAAGGTGACACAAAAAGACTCATAGCTTTTTCTTATTCTATTTACAAAGATCTGAGGTCAGAGGAGGACAAATGGAACATCTTAATTTTAGACAAATAAAACAGTTATTCTACGCGTAGAAAATGAACGGTTGTTGTTGATACAAAGTTAAAAGTAGTGTAGCTTAATGTGGCTAAGTGACCGAGCTAAAAGAGGCTAACCTGTTAGCTACTGAGCACAGCTAGCCACAGCGCTACCCAGCTCTTTATATAACGGTCTAACAGTTACTTTGTTCCCCAGAAACAGATTTTTTCAGTTTTGTTAGCAATCAGGTAAAACTTCATCAGTCAGTGGTGAACAACTTTGTTGTTGCCTAGGCAACCACAATGTTTTGTAGCGTAACGTCACTGACATGAAGCAGGACCCGAGCAGATCTGGTAGCTACACTGAATCTAACTGTGGGTTTTACTGTATCGTAGAACAATGGCAGAGCTCAGCCAATCACATTATAGAAACACCTGTTTTATATTTGGGTAAATGTCAGCAGACCTTCTCAGTGGAGATAAAGGAAGCTCCACCCACCCGTCCAACCCTGTTGTTCCTCCCACAGTGTGGGATGCTGGTGAGCTGCAGCTTCCTGGTTCCAGTCTGTTCCTTCCTCTCCATGCTCACATTTTATCCCAGGATCGGTTCTCCTGAGTATTTATTTAATGTTTCCAGTTGTATTTGTTGTTGAAAAAACTCCATCCTGACTAGTTTGGGATGTTTTTCCCACCTAAATGTCCAGCTTGATTGTTGTCTCTGATATTCCTGTTTTCTGACGCTCCACAGGAAGTGGGCCGTTAAAAGAGGAAGGAGTGATGCTGAGGGCTTCAGCGGGGCGGTGGAAGGACTCCCTGAGCTCATTGCCGCTTGCAGCGGTAAAGAAAGCGTTTTCTCCGCCATCGTCAGCCAGGAGTTTACTCCAAGTCAAACGCAGCAGGTAAAGACACGTTGAGTGAAAATGGCTGTGGTCTTTTCTGGGGTCCCCGGTGCCTCCCTCATTCCTCTGATGTGAGCTGTGATGGCGGAGGCAGGGCATGGCGACAGGCCCTGTGACCCTTCCTTCCCTTCCAGGTCCTTCCTCCCCCCGTCTCCACCCCCACAGAGCCGCAGCCTCTTTAACTAAATAATTAGATGTGCCGCAGCGTTCCTGTCTGAGCGGCTCCAGGAGGGTAATCCTCAGATAAATAGCTTCTCTTTGGCCAATTTGACGGCTGTTTGACCCCCAATAAGCACAGTCATCCTTTCCACGCTTCTTTTCTGTTGCCTCTTTATGCATCTTAAGCTCTTCACCTGACGTGGCTCCTAGGTTGGACCAGATGTTTGCTTCCTATTTTCCTGGTTTTTTAACATTATTGGTTCTCCTCAGAGGTAACCCACATCTGACCCTTTGGTTTCTGAGCTTAAAAGGACTTCCTGATCATCCTCTGACATGGGAGCTGGCTCGGAGCTCGTCTGCCTGGCTGTGTGTTTCCTGGACGGGGCCGCCTGTGGAGCTGGTTGACAGTTGCCTTTTGTATCTATGCTTCTTTTTCTATGTCAGCTTCTGTCTCCTTGAACCCCAGTGGGCCTCAGCAGATGGCCGCTCACACTGAGCCTGGTTCTGCTGGAGGTTTCTTCCTGTTCAAAGGGAGTTTTTCCTCTCCACTGTCGCTACAAGCATGCTTAGTGTGAGGGATTGCTGAAGAGTCAATGAGTCGATGCAATCAGCTGGTTTTCCTTAGATAGAAAACTTTGAATCAATCTGACTGGATGATCTGGTGAAGTGGAAAGTGACCTGAGATGACATGATGGGAATTGGAGCTATAGAAATAAACTGAATAGAATTAAGCTCCTCCTCATCATGAACCAACAACTTTGGATGAAATCTTTTGTTGTAAATTTCCAGACAGAAAATATTTCTAAAACCTTGGTGTCCCAAAAGTTAAACCTTTACCAGCATCTCACCAAGCTGTTCAAATGTCAAAACCATTTTTATTTTCACTGGCGTTTTCCCATCATGCCTTGCTCTTCCCCGGCCAGGCGTGGTCCTTCCTGAGTCACCTCCCGGTTCTGGAGGTCCAGATGAGCGTGAAGGGCTGGTGGGAGCAGAGCCAGGAGCAGACGGAGCGACCCCTGCCTGCAGGGGGCGCTAACCTGAGAGAGGAGAGCAGCTGGTTGGACGTCCACGCGGATCAGGAGTACGTCCTGCAGGTGGCGCTGCGGCGCATTAATCTGGGTCAGCAGAGGGTGAGTGAAGGAAGCAGAAGCCTTTTTAGCAGAAAGGGACCAAAATGTAAAAATGTTTTTTAATTTATATCTGTCAGAGAAAGTTTAAGATCTACAAACATTTTGACAGGATTAAACTCTGTAATTAAACTCTATCCTGGAGTTGTGGAGTTGTGATTAAGATGGTTTGTTTTGCAGAGGAAGCAGGACAGTAAGGCCCAGGCTCCCAGGTTCCCCAAGGCCAAGGATGAGGGCTGGTTCCTGGTCATGGGGGAAGTGGATCGGAAGGAGCTGCTGGCCGTCAAACGGGTCGGATACGTCCGGAATCACACGGCCGTTTCTGTGGCCTTCTACACTCCAGAGAAGACTGGAAAGTAAGACGTAGCTTCAGAGTAAAAACACAGACGGAGATCATTGCTAGAAGAACTGCTGCTCTGAATTTAACGAGACGTTTGAGATCAGCGTGGAAAAAAGATAATCCTTACAGAGGATTATTTTCTCCTATGAAAGGAAAATGACGTCTGCGATGCAAAAACAATCTAGAAATTAATAAAAATGTCTTGAATTAATTTTTTTTACCCCTAATTTGAGTAGATAAATAAGATGATTTGCAATGGATTGAGGATTTTTACTTTTAAAATAAGGTAATTAGATAATATACTTTTGAAATAAGACAGTAAAATTTTTTTTTCTTATTTTAAATGTAGATTGTCTTGTTCCATTGGCAAAGTGTCTCATTTACCTCCTAAATTCAAGAAAAAATGCACTTATTTTATGAAAAATAGACTCATCTAGATTTCGATTTTTTTCCAGTGTAAGGAAACAGTTTATCGTTTTTTTATTCTATTGCTGAATCAGTGCATAAACCAGCTGGTTGGAAATAAAAAAGCAGGTCTCCAGGTTATTAGAGCTCATAAAATGAGACACCTGAGCAGAGCCGTTAGCACCTTGTTTCCATCGGGCCTCGTTAGCGACCTTTCAGAGCAGCGTGAGCGTTAGCATAAAGTTAGGGCCTGACTCTAGAAAGTCATCTGATCTCCTGTGAACCTTCTGCCTGTAGGTGCATCTACACGCTGTATGTGATGAGCGACAGCTACCTGGGTCTGGACCAGCAGTATGACATCCACCTGAACGTCACGCCTGCCAGCATCTCCGCCCAGGTCAACACAGAGGTGGTGGACTCAGTGAGCGGGTTGTCCCTCAGCTAAAGACCAGCAGCAGAGAAGTCTTCATCCAGCTCCTCCCTTCAGAAGGAGCTGTAGCTCCTGTTAGCATCGGCCCCATGTCAGAACTTGATCTGCTGAAACTGAAGGCATGAAGCTGGAGAGGAACTCAATCCTTCCCTGTTTGGTTTACTGGATAGAAATCGTAGTTAGAAATGAAAAAAAAAAAAAAAAAAAAAGAAATCTGGTTCTTTAACTAATGAGTAAAATGTTTTTGTTTTCATAAGTTTTTGATTCTGGTGGCAGAAATCCTTTATTTAGGAGTTTTTCTTCCTGAAGGCTGGGAAGTGATTCACGCTGCAGAGATGTCCTCTCACTCTGACAGCTGGACTGGATCT